AGAGTTTTTCTCTCTCCAAGACATATACAAGAGGGGTTTTGGGGGATTAAAATGCTCCCTGAAATCCTTTTCCCCCTTGTTAGGGTTGAAAAACCCCAAAATACCCTATTTCTGCCCTCACTTGCGTCGAAGCACCACCTGCCCTAACGCGAGAGTATAGGCACCCAAGTCGGCCTTAACGCAAGAGTCTAGGTGGCCGAGCCACCACCTAGGCATGCACTTAGATGCACAGTGCCTAGGAAGCCAGCCCATAGATGGCTTTTGCGGTGGCCGGACAACCGAGTTTTTTAATATTGTCAAGTTGTTCACTTTATTAATATTTTCTATGATGTGGTTGTGTTTTTTTCCTGGAATAGCTGTGGTATTCGTGATGACCCTCACGTCTACATTGCTAATCCTTGTCATGGTGATGGTATGGAAGACCAGCATTATGGTCATAGTTGCTTACATGCTAACAATTGGCGCCGTCGAGCTTCTCTACCTCTCTTCCGTCATGTACAAGTTCCCAAAGGGAGGCTACCTACCTTTGGCCTTTTCCGCCTTCCTTATGTGCATCATGTACGTATGGAGCCATGTGAGTCGTAGAAAATATGCTTATGAACTTGAACAAAAGGTCCCGATAGCAAAACTCCTCGACATTGATATGAAACCCCAGTCCATAGGATCCCAGGCCTTGGCCTCTTCTACTCTGAGCTTGTTGAGGGGTGCCTCCAATCTTCTCCCATTACATCGCTAACGTGCCAGCCCTCCACTCCTTGCTTGTGTTTGTGTCCATCAAGTTCCTTACAATTGGTCAGGTCCCTGCAGCCAAGCGCTTCTTGTTTAGGCGGGTTGGGTCCCATGATCTCGCTATTTATCGATGTGTAGTGAGATATGGCTATGCAGACATGCATTTGGACCATGTTTCATTTCAGAATTCCCTCATTGAGGGGCTCAAGGAATTCATTAGAGCCGACTTTATGAAACGAAAATCAGAGAGTTGGGTACGTGCACTGAAAAGAGAGATAGAGAATGGTGGTTATGCAATTAAGGAGATTGCGGATAGTGGTCAGAGTCAGACACAGATACGGAGTATGTTGAAAGGGAGATGATGGATTGTTGAGAGGCAGTTGATGATGGTGGAGAGGGCTTTGGGCACTGGTGTTGTGTACATGTTGGGCCGGATAGAGGTGGTGGCTAGAAAGGGTGCTTCATGGTGGGAGAGGGTGCTGATAAACTTTGTGTATACTTGTTTGAAGAGGAATGTGAGGCGGGAGATGGATGTGTTAGCCATACCGCACAAGAGTCCCTTGAAGGTTGGCATGACATATGAGCTCTGAGAGAGAATAACTTGCAAAAGAATTCGAAGGTCGGCATGGCATATGAAAATGGCATATGAGTTGAGTGAGAGAGAAAAAAATTTCTGGTATGTACACCTCAAAAAAAAATTAAAAGAAATATTTAGATAGAGTTCCACTCTCGCAACCAGTGGCTTCCCCTTGGGAAAAAAATTAGAAAGAAAATCTATTGAGGTGAAATGTCAAAATATATTAAGTGAAAATCTTGGAGAGTAAGTTAAAATTTTGTTTCATAGGATTTGCAGAATAAGACAAATTTATGAACTGCAACACAAGAAGGTCCTTGCTTTAAGATAGTGGAATTATTTGGTATTAATTTCATATTAAGGAGTCTTGTTTACCAGATGCGATTTAAAAACAAGCCAGAATCATGTTTACAAGTTCATAAATAAACTTTTGGTGGTCTCATAGACCACTAAACAATGGTACTTCCCAACATCTTAAAATCACTTTTAAGGTGTTTTAGAAAATCTGTTAGGGTTCCAAATCACAACTGACCCATTGGTGCACCAAAAAAAGCTCCAAAACCCCAGAATTCATTGATTCACCATTTAAATGAATGGTCAATGTTTGCCCTAGAAGTGGATTAGCAGCATTTTAGAACTCTAAAATCAAATTCTTTTTGGAAGAGACTGTTTTTGAAGTGGAAGAGATTGATTTGGACCTCCTTCTTTTGATCCCCTACCCACATCAATAAGAGTTTTTGCAAGAAATGTTTCTCTCATAATACACAATTCTGATGTCCTATTACGTTGCCTGATTTTATTGCAAGAAATAAAATTTCGAGACAAATTTATCTATTGATTATATGGTGTTGCAGACAGGGGAACTTAATCAATAAGCTTTGCGAGAACTTCAAAGTGCTTCGCTTCCTGCTCTAATAAGAGTCATATGACAATAGTGAAAGATCGTTGTCATACCATTCAAAGGATTACTTTGCTTCCTTCCCTATTAATGGTGACACAACAACAAAGAAACCGTCAGAACGAGGAAAAACTTTATATTGAGCCGAGGCTTTAAACAATCAAATTCAAGCCCACCTCAAAAATTTCACTGAAAGAGGTTGTTTTGATGCCCAAATTTCTTCAAATTGATCATCTCGATATCAAGATCCATGTACATGACAACAAAAACAGATTTCAAGTTTTAGAAATAGTGCAACTTGTTTTGAACCGTCAATTTTCAAGATTTTCAAGTTTTCATAGATATGCTCGATCTATACTATTTTGAAGCTTTAAATTTTATAATTAGAGATGAAAATGAAGATATATAGTAAGTGTGGAACTTACGAATTTGTACTATGAATGGTGTGATGATGATGATTGGGTGCAGTTTGCATAGAACCGAGTCTCTAAACAATCAAAGTAGAGCCCACCTTCAAATAGTACCAAGAAATGTGGTTTCACAACTGAAAATCTTTGTGATAGCCTTAAAATATATTATGGGTTCGCGCCCTACATTGTTTCTTGTGATCCAAATGGTCATGACTCTAGGTGCTCCAAGAAGCTGCACATGTGATTGAGTTTTTAACAACAAATATAGCTATCAGGATAGGCAAAATGATTCACCAGTATTCTACCAAAAACTTAACACTTCACTCTTAAGTTAATAATAATAACTTTTTTATGAAATGAATTTCATTTAATTATAGTAAAACCAAAACACAGTCAAATACTTAAGTTTCAAATTTTGAATTTGATGCTTTAATGGAATATAGAACTTGATTGTTTCAAGGGAAAAAAAAGAGAGAATGTAGGGCTGTAGTTCCATGGTGAATTTTTTGGGGCTCATGCAAGATTTGTTTTTAAACGGGGCTCCAAAATCCAGCAAGCTGACATGGAAGTCAACTCAGGCTGGTAAGGAACTGAACTATAAGAAAGTCGGATCCGGTCTCACAGAGAAAACATGAAATATGATCTTGGGATTTCAAAGATTTTTGCCTTTTGATTGGAATTTTTTTAAAAGTTATTTTGTATGAATGAGATAGTGTTGGGTGTGTTTTTAGTCACATATGAAGCTAAGGGTATTCCAACTTACGCTTGATAGAGGTATTAATAAAAGCGTTAGTTTTATAACGAACACTGAATAGACAAGCTTAGCCTTGGAAGATGTATCTTGCATGATAAACATGTTTCTTATTCCTTGATAGAATATCAGAATATGCACAGCTTGACCAATAAAACCAGTGGTTGCCATACTCAGATTGCTTGATCAACAAATATAGAAAGCAACAGCGGCTGATTAACAAGTTCGAGCAATGATAAATTTGTAGGCCTCAGGAACAGACGGTCATACCAAAGCACGCTCGAGCGAGTAGACAAAAAATTCCAGATCTTCACCAGAGACAGAAAAGCAATCGAGACAACTAAAAAAAACAGAATAGCACTTGGAAGAACCAACAAAACTTGATGTGGATCCGTGACAGATTCAACCACTCGTAGGCCATAACAGAGACAAAGTTGTTTTGTAGAGAGTTGAAATACACTCGAAAGAGAATCAAAACACGACTCGGTGGCAATTTTACAGAGGCCATTTTTAGAGGTGGATTCAAAGGCATGTTTTCAGATCCGGTTCAACAAAGATCCGGCAACAAAGGAGAGCCCAACAACAAAAGGTTATGTGGCGGTGAAGAATGTGATAGTGGCATGCCCCGATCATCTAGTGACATGCCCCAATATCTCGCGCTCGCCCATATTGTTATCATCATATAATTATCATCATCATAGATAATTCCCACAAATACAATGGAGTATTCGTGCAGAAAGCATCAATCGCCAAGTGTAATTGTTTTATAAATTAATAGTATTTATCCAAATTCCGTCGTAATTTAACGCATCGTGGTAATTATCCCACATCCAACAGCGAGCTTTAGTTTTACTTCTATAAATTGTTTTGTAAGTTTCTAAAGGTTTGTGCACGTGTACCCGAGTTTTCCATCCACGCGCAGCCGGTGGGTGACGTTAGTCTTCCACATGTGGACTGTGGAGAATCGGTGTTTTGGCACGTATATCATCATACAAGCGATTCACTATGCAAAACCAGTTATGTATGACATCATACAAGCGGTTCACTGTGCAGAACCAACCAACTCGTTCTAGAACCGGGCGGTTTTACACTAGAATCAGCACGGAGTAACCGATCTTCATGCCGACTCGGGCAAGTCCGTTGCGACTCGTCGATTTTTAAATCACTGATCTCGACACATATCAAAAGGTGTAGTTGCCCTAAGGCTGCAACCTTGAACAATCCAATTAAAGCACACCTCCAAATTCTATCATAACATATACTTCTGGGGTAAAAAAATCTTAAGATTATTTCAAAATCTATTTTCATATCTAATTAGAAAATTTTAAACTCAAAAAATGGTTAAAATCAAATAGATCTATACACATGAAAATCTTGAAAGTGGACAGTCCAGATAATGTGCTGCACAATGAATTATTTATGGGACTCAAAATCCTTTTTTTCCATATTCATACATCTCATTGTCAAGATGATCAATTAGAGGGTTTTTCAACATTAAGACAATCTTTTCTGATGGAATTTTGAAATGCATCTATAATTTGACATTTTAAGGTTTATAAACTTTTTCCAAAAAAAAAAATAAATAAATAGAAATAATGGCGAGGTCGTATCATTCCCATCCTCCTCTCTCATCACCTCTTGAAAACCCCAAATCCTCTTTCTACTTCACTCTTTTTCACCATGAAAGTAATACATGTTCTAGGATCCCTTCGCATAAAAGAACATGCAGGGTAATTATTTTCTCTTCAACTTCAAATCTACCATAAAATATGCAAAAGAGCATGAAAAACTCTAAGGTATCTCTCAAATGGCGACTGCCTTCCAAGTTCTCTGCGTTGCTCGTGAAACCGTAGATGAGATCCCGACTGGGTAGCCTCTCTCACGTCAGAAAGCAATACAAAAAGCTTGCTTTGATTCTTCATCCTGATAAGAAACAAATGTGGAAGCTCTACAGCTGCATTAAAATTCATAGGAAAAACGTGTTATATTCGCTCTGATATATTCAAAAAACAAGCTTACGATTTGAAAGTAAGAATTGGTTTTGAGTTTCAGGTTGATAGAATTGGTTTTGAGTTTCAGGTTGATCCTATGAAACCATCAAGAAAATTGGTTTTTTTTTATGGCAAGCTTTTTATGCTTCCCCTACTGTATAAAACTCCTATACATCCAACCATCCATTTTGAATGGACGGCTAAGATGATCCCAATCACAATGTCACATCTCTACACTTGTTTTTTTTTAAGTTTTTTCTATAAACTATTTTATCACCAAATTTTGGATGTCCTCTCCTCTCTTAACCTCACACCTGAAAGATATTAAAAAATTATTTCTAATAAAATAAAATGACTAAAACAACCCTGAAATTTTCAAAGGTATTTCGGTAATTGTATGTTCCTGAAAATATTTTTTTACTATTTTTTTGAAGTGCACCCCAATGAGAAGATGGCACATACCAAATTTCATATTCATATCATTTGTAGAAAAAAACTAAAAATAAAATAATATGAAACATCGGATATAGATAAAGCAGACAGTGGCTCACTAGGGGTAAAATATACATCTTCTATGCAGCAAGGGAAGTATAGAAACCTTTCCCTTTTTTTATTGTGCTCTACTACTTGTTGACTGTTCCATTGACCACAACTATATGGTTCATATGCCAAGATTGTGCAATTTGTGAGAAGAGTTTCATGGTTGTGGACGTTAATAATACACAGCCGGGAAAGATAAAGTACTTAAGCGGGGCAATTTCATCAATTGCCTAATAACAGTGCCATTGTGGTGGGGATACCCTAAGTCAAAATTTAAAATCTGGGACATCCAGTCTCTGGGAAAAAACAACCGAAATATTTTTGTCATAAAAAAACCCATGTTTTAATAACATAAACTCGAGCAAGCATATTACAAACTTGCAAGCCAAACAAATATGGAAGAAACACTTAGTTCAGTGCGCCTATGAAAGCAGGCCAAGCTGAATAATTGAACCATAAAATTGAAGGAGATTCACAATCCTGTGGAGGACCATTTCTCAAAGAAGAATGTTTAGAAGAACCTCTGTAAATATGACAAGTAGTCCTCAGTAACACTGCATGATCTGCCTAATAAGCTCAAACGTGTACTAACTTTCTGACGATTTTTCCTTTATACAATTTAAGCAGGCAACGGCTCCTCCATAACTACAAAATACAGTAGATACCCATTAGTACATAACAGACTATGAAATGTTAGCACCCAAGCTAGAGAGAGAGATATAGAGAGAGAGAGAGAGAGGGAGAGGGAGTCTGCATGTATATAATTCCGGCACCTAAACCTAAGATTGAGATTCCTTGAACATGATCAAATATTGTAACCCCAATCAAATTATTGACAAGAACAAGATAAAAGTAAAAAATGAAGAACCTTTTTTAGATGCCGCGGAGGCAGTCACCGGGTTGGCTGGCACATCAGGAAGTCCCAAATCCTCGACAGGTTTCTTACTTTCAATAACCTCATCATCTTTTTGAGATGGCACATGTGCAGGGGCTTCTGGCATTACTTCCACCGCGATCTGGACAAAAACATTAAAATATTTATTTAAAAATAATAATCCTATCAGAATGCACATGCCTATATTGAACCATCTTCTAAAACCAGAGTTCTACCGTTGCAAATACATTGTGAAGGATTTGAGGGTAAGTCTTAGATAGTTTAGTGGGCCATCTTTAACTTCATGTAATTTTTTTATTTTTTTGGCCAATAGTCTAATGAATTTTCATGGTTCTGGTTTCAACTGAATGTAATATGCAGTTCCCTATTATGTTAACATGATTCTTTGAGGAGGAGAAAAAAGAAAGGATTGACTGGATTTCCAGAAGTCAATCTGAGAAGGCTGTTGATTGGAAAATGGATTAAGGTGAGCATTAGATCATAGGTGAAGTTCCAAACTTTAATGGAATGGTAACTGAAAGTAGGGCTTGTTCCCTAAGGTTAGGCCCCAGGTGTGGTGCCTCCTGACCTTCAAAATAAACCAAAAAAAAAATTCATATCCTAGCAATTCCAAATAAATTAAGGAGAAGAAAATCAAAGAGGCAAATGTCCATGCAATTTTAGAGTGCATACCAGCACTAAGAAAATTCAAGAATGTGTACCTGTGTTTCCAAGTCCTCAAATTCTGCCAAAACATCTTCTTCATCCTCTGCTGTCAGGCGCTCTGCAAGTATGCCATCTATTTCCTACACATCAGGGAACAGGTAATAGAGAAACCATAAGAATCAGAAAGCAGATTTGTCATAGGTTTATATCAAGACAGACATAAAATAGTGTTTTAGAAATGAAAATGACAGTTAAAAGACCCCATCAATAAGTGCTTCCTGGGATGAACAAATGCAGTACAGAGAAGATTCAACAAATAATAAAACACAATTTACTACAATGGCCCACTAGTCCAAATGCACTTCTATGAAGTTTTCAGAACTAAAGGGGCCGACATGCCTACAAAATATAATTATATGCGGTTCTCATAACAAAATGGGCCAATTTAGTCCTAAATATGAAAAAAAGCTAATCACCGGAATTTGTCAGAATTAGATATAAATGTCATATATTGCATGAGACTGAGAAAGATATTGCCACCAAGAAGAAATAAAATAAATCTAGTATTCTTTTACTACAGTATTTCCACAAACCATTACATAAACTTCACTACATGCCAAAGATCGCAATCCACCAGCAATTAAATGACCATAACATGATGCTGCAGCTTTTAACATGAACTTTACGACATTCAAGAGTTCAAACGGCTAACATGTTATAATGATAACCAGGCAAAATTTCAAATTCACAAGCACATTAAAAGAAAGCCCCTACAAAGCTGGTACTGACACCTTATAACATAAAAGGATTAACTTAAAGGCATTAGAAGGAGACTCTCTTGATCAAGAGATTCGGAACTCTTTTCCACCCTAACCTTGTATCCCATGTATTTTACTTTACTTTTCCCTCATTGTTTTTGGATCAGGTCCATAGTCACCGGGATCGCCCAAGAAGGTGGTCGCTCCAGCTCCGAAAGCTCAACCCTGTGCTCCGGGACAATGGATCTCAATTCTGGACGTTTTTTGAAATTAGGGATCTCATCCACAAAATTGGAGATCTAGATCCATGGTTAATGGGGGATCCACATCCCTCTCATCCAAATCATGGGTCCATGTTTAAGTGGAATTGAGCCTCCACCAATGAGGAATTGAGTTTTTTTTACATTGGTACCGAAGATCACCAACATTGGTACCGAAGATCACCAACACATTTCAAGATTCATTCACGATGGGTGTGTTGACTACGAACATATTTGAGTAGTTGTGCCTGGATGATCAGTATTTTTGTCGAACCCTAGAGCTTCTTTCATGCGTAAGGACTGAAATTTGAATCCTTGGTTTGCGTATTTAGTTTCACTTCTCACCGATGAAAAACACTCCAATGATAAAAAAAAAAATTTAAAATTATCTTTAAAATGGGATTCTTTGTATCTAATGATACTTTTGGATGTAACACTCATTCAACTCTTTACAATTCCTTTAACCTATAAATACGAGGAAAAATAATTTACAATTTGTGAAGCACATGATAATAGCATTTTATATACAATCAATTATTTCAGGTCCACAAGATACTTAGTTAAATACAAAATCAAACCTTACTCTTACCAATACTCATGCAGAATTCTAAACTGCTATGAATCATGCCATAATACTACTCAAATTCCACATTTTAGGAATACTAGATCTTGTATGTTATACCCATGCCCATATTAAGAGAGTGGCCACTTCCCGCAATATACCATATCAATATGGACAAAAAAAGTACATTTGATAAATGCATGGGAAAGAACTGACCTCACTAAGAAGCCTATTCTGATTTCACAGATGTACAGGCATGATTTCATCAGAAACTCAGCCAAATATGATATTCTTGGGTTATTTTTCATAGTTGGTATCCAAAGCATTCTAACCAACTACAAGAACTAAGTATGTTTCCCTGTAAAAGCAACTCAACTAAGTCTTATGTAAAGTCATTATCATCATCACTTAGAGTCTTATGTAAAGTCATATGTAAAGTCTTATGTAAAGTCCGCTACACAAATCCTGGTCCGCCATTCTGCTCTTTCAAGGGCCATACCCTCAATTAGGCTATAAGTCCCCACAACTTTTTTCACTACTTCCAACCATATTATTTTGGGCCTACCCCTTTCCCTTTATTAGTCTTCCACTTGAACCAACTCTCACCTCCTAAGAGGTGTTGTACTGAGTCTACGCTACACATGGCCAACCCACTTAAGCCTTATCACTTATTGGACCCACACTAAAGTTCTCCTGAATGTATTTATTACGAATTGTATTACTTCTTGCCTTGCCAGTCATCCATCTCAACATCATCATCTCAAATACACTCATCCTATGGGTCTGTTATTTCTTGACCGCCCAATATTCCGCCCCATAAAGCAAAGTAGTCTCACAGTTGTCCTATAGAACTTCCCCTTCAGATTCACTGGTTTGTGACGGTCACTGAAAACTCCGGCTACACATCTCCACTTCACCCACCCAACTCTAATTCCCTCCAAAGTTCTAACTTTGTGTTGACGTCGCTTCGAGTCTCATTGATCAAAACGATGTTGTCTATGGGCAACATAAACCACGGTACCTCATCTTGTAAGTACTTAGTTAAGTCGTCCATGATTAAGACAAAGAAGTATGTGCTCAACGTTGACATCCTGATGTAAACCTACTGTCATGGAAAACTCACTCGTCTCTCCACTAGTAGTTCGCATGCTAGTTAGGGCTCCCTCATACATAGCTCTCACCAAGTCGATATACTATTTTGAGACTCCTTTCTTTTCCAATAGCCACCAAATTCAATCCTGAGGTACTCTTTCATAAGCTTTCTCTAAACCAATAAAGACCATGTGGAGGTCTTTTTCCTTCGCCCTAAACTCCTCAATCAGTTGTCGAAGTAGGAAAATAACATCAATTATTGACTTCCCTATCATAAAAAACCAAATTGGTTTTTTTATACACTCATTTTTGTCTTAGTCATTGCTTAATCACTCTCTCCCACGACTTCATATTGTGGCTCATAAGTTTGATCCCTCAATAGTTCGCACAATTTCCATGGATTCAAGCTATCAACAATTTTATACAGTAAGCTTATGAATAACATACAGGTGGAGAAAAAACAGTGAAGATGATTTACCAAAAAGAACAGTGAAACATATAAAAAAAAAAGGTTTATTATACAGAGAAAATGAAACTCACATCTTGGTAAGCCTTTGCCTCAGCTGTCTCATCCATAAGCTTTTGAACATCCTCTAAATTGATCTCACTTTGTATAGCCTTAATTGCATTGTTTCCGGACTTCAAGCTCTCGAACACAGCCTTCTGCTTACTAGTGAGTTCTATATCTGCCAACTAAAACCAATCAAGATTGAAGATGCACCAAGTAAATTATTTTGTAAATATCACATAATTAGAGAACAAAAATTAAAAAGAAAAAGGATAACATTTTGCCAGTAATATACATTTTGCTAGTAATGTAATAGGAAATTTTCTCGCACTCTCAAGAACTACATACTTGTTGCTCAACATTAATAAGCCAGGTATCAACTTGCTTCAATAGTTCTTCTTGGGCCTTCTTCTTCTTCAATGCTCGAAGGGCTCTATCTTTCTTCTTATCTCGGATCAAGTCCTTGGCAGCTTGCTTTTCAGCTTCAATCACATCATCGAGCTGCAAAAATGATTAAATTTCCTACTCCAACTAAGAATCATGGCAAAAATGAAACTTGAACATAGTTTCCTATTTAATGAAGAAGCATAATAGAACAATAAAATAGTTTCAAGTGTTTCTGGGAAGCCAGTCACATTTTATTATTTGATATCAACTGGGAGATTAATGAATATTTCCAATGTTATCAATGAACATTTTATCCAAGGGGTTCTTGTTTAGAACAAGGGCATAGGCACTTCATGATTTTTGCTCAGGAACACAAACTGTGCACTTTGCCTTGCACAGACACAGATATGTAACCACTTTCACCTGACTAAACTTACCATTAACCTAGACAAAGGGTACAATTGGGTTACAGAATCCTTATTCTCGTTGAGATAAGTTATTCCATATATAAACTCCTTTCAAGTTTTAACAGATACAAATCATCATCTCTTTGTAATTAATAGAATGCATCCTTTTAATGAAACATTGTTAGACAATTGTTCACACAAAAATTGGTGATCAAAAGCAAGTATACTTTCAATAAAACCTCAATGCCTACAGAGCACCAGATGAGAAAGCAAGTAAATATCAAACTATCAAACTACATAATCAAGTACATGTATGTGTGTAGACAAGCACAAGCATTCATAGAAGTAGATTGCAGTACATATAAGCAATGATTCAAAAAGCGGACCGCCCAATGCCTAGGCCGTCCAAAAGGCCTAGGCGCATCGCCCAAGCCTAGGCGGCCAATCAGGGCGGTCAATCCCTGGGCGACCACCTAGGCGGTACAGAACCCGCCTAGGCGGGCACCCAGCGCCCAGCCCTGGGTGACCGCCCAGGGCCTGCGCCCCGCCCAAGGGCAAAAATTGATTTCGGTAGGGGCAATTTTGGTTTTTTTTTGTTTTTAAGGGACAAAAATTAGGGTTTTGGTTCATTTGAACCCTAAAACTTGTTGGAGCCCATTTTAGAGAGTGAAAGCCCCTAAATATTTAGTTTTTGGTGAATTTTTTAGGATCGAAGGGTTTCTCAAAGTTAACAAAAATTGATCAAAACATCACCCATTGATATTAGATTTACTTTTTGAATTATGGAGTGTGTACTAAATGCTAATACGTAGTATAATTTGAATTATATACTGCAATACATATAACTGATACTGACATAACTGTACTGCAAAATCCTTATTTGAATTTAACTGGGCCACCCAGGTTCTGGGCGCCAGCCTAGGCGCTGAGCGGCTTAGACCCCCCAGGCCGCCTAGGACCCACCTAACGGTTTTTGAAACACTGCATATGAGACAAATTGAGCATCACTTATATGCATGCACCAACTAGTGTCCAAGTTATGTTGCATAAACTTTTTGATATGTCACTTTTAAGAATAGAACTGCAATTTATGCCTTAGTTTTCTTTTCTGTTAATGTGCATCTACTAGACAAATACGCAATCCATGCAAGTCCAAGGCTACAGGGGTCTTTTGTACTAGACTACAAGTACATAACAATTTTTATGCAGAATGGAACCGCTAATGAAATTTTTCACTACATTCTTCACAACTTATGCATATCTGTCTGGGTTTTAAAGCTTTTACAACTATCCTTTTTGGGGTAAATGCAGCTTGCTACAGAAATAGAACATAAGGTAGCATTTATACAGTAGTTAGGCCACAAGAGCAACCAAAATGTCTTCATATCACAAGAAGGGTTTTAGGGACATACATCTCTCCCTCCCTCCCCATACACATGGACATGGACCCAATCATTGGGGAAGCCTAGAATACGTTGCTAATATAAGCTAAAATTATAGAAGGCGGATATCAAAAATGCGTTCATGCATCATTGGGGTTTCTTAAATTTGCGGACTTTAGCATAAAACACAAGGTTTACTCCATTGGGGTCCTCATTTATCTTTCATTGCCTGCCTTTGCATTTCTGAATTGAGAAGTTAGTTTCATTAATATGGGTCTTGAACATTTTCCGATGCGTCGTTTGGTTCAACTGGGGTTTGAAAACGCAACAAGTCTGCCTACTAAGTTTTAATAGCTAACTATAAGGACTGCTATAGAGAGAGAGAGAAAGACAAAGCCAATCGGCTCCCCTCAAGGAGACAATGATTATGTGATCAGAGGCGACAAGGTGATATCAAGCATGATTAAGCTTTAAGTACACATAGCTACAATTAGCGATAGGCGCCCAGCCATCCATGTTTCAAAAATCGATCAAAAACCCAATAAAGAAAATCAATACTGCAATAGTAGCCATAAATTAAGATGCCAACAAGCGTCAAAACCCTTTCCAGGCAAGGCCAAAAGCATAATAAGAATGAGAAAGACAAGAACACTAACGAATTAAGTCATGAAAAATCCATCAATGCAAATCAATTAGAAAGTCAAACTCCAACTTTTAAAGATAAAGGGGTTACATTGGATTACGTGGAGAATCAAGCAAAATAATTTACTGTTCTCAATACGTTTTCATAAAATCAATTATGCAACATTTTTCTCAAAAAAATAATAGTAATAATTATGCAACATTTGTGATAAATTGAAGCCATGAGAAATCACAATTTAGAATAGAATTATAAAACCGATGGATCTCTATTAAATAATTGATCCCCCCAAAACAATCAGAACCCATCAATATTGAAGCCCAAATTGAAATTAATGCAACATCAAGTGATATTACAGTTCCAACCTGTTGCTGATATTGTGCGAGCTTCCTGCGCTGTGTTTTTAGAGAAAGGATGGCCCTGTCCACATCAGTCACTTTGGGTTTCTTTGTGAAAATGTTTCCCATTTCATCAAATTTCCTCTCCCCAACCTACCAAAAAAATCCCCTCCTCTCTCTCTCTCTGGAAGATCATGAACCAACCATAAAAAAATATTAGGGTTTGTCCATGAATTCCCTAAACAGACCGCACGCAAATGCACACGCGGGGTTCCCAAAGAAGAACGAGAAAAACCCCAATATTTGTTGAGAGAAAAACCCTAATTGCAGTTTCTAACTCTCTGTTATTTTTCTCCTCCTTGAATTCGCGGGAGGAATGGTGAAGAGCGTCTCAGGAAGGGGTTTATTTGTTAAAGGTCATATCACTCTTTTGGGCATAGATGTGCTAAAAGATTTCGTACTCCCGCGGGAATATAGTATCCATTTCCCCGCTTGGACAAAAAGATACTTTTAGGGCGTGCATGATAACTGTCTTCCGGAAGTTTAGAACTTCTTAATACTGTTCAAGTTTTGTGTTTTATAAAAAATTTGAATTTTAAACAAAACTTCAAGGAACCATTCAAGTTCTAATTTTCCATCAAAAATAAAAAGTTCTAACCTGATTGGAACTTAAACTTTGAACTTTTTTTTTATGAACCTCCCCTATATATAAAATATATATATTTTATGGTATAATATACAATATATATAATAATAATACAATATATTATACATTGTATATATTTTTATTATATAATATTAT